ATCTAGACCTTCTTAGTACTAGTGCAGAACGCCTTCGGGGAGGTGTGGAAGCTGTGGCCAAGTAATGAATGCTGTGGTTTTTGCCTCTCAACTACTCAGCAGCAGGGGGTAGAAAAAAAAGCAAGACTCAATCATCTCCCTTCTGACCCTAAAAATCTAAGCAATCTATACTGTAGTAATTGGGGGGTGTTTTTTGGGGGGGAGGGGAAGGGGATGGTAAGTTCTTAAGAGAGTTAAGCGCATAACATCTGTATTTAAGCATATAACTGCCCTGGCATTTTCAAAGGTGATAGTTTCATAGTTTCATACTGAACACTTGTAGTTTCTATTTACTTTAGTAGGAAGGGTTGCTATATGCTTCTGAAACAAGGTCACTTCTATTTAAATATTAAGTAACCTTAGGTGCCTAACTGGGTATTTACTAGAGGTTTACATTTTTACCCTTCTTTGTTTGGAAGATGACAATTCCAAACATTAAAGGAAGTTTCCTGTACTGCTATGCAGAATCTTTCATAATTGACTACCTTTACTTAATATATGTAACAAATCATGAAAGAAGATCAGTTTAGGGCAGTGATTCTCAACCAGGGTGCTTTGGGATCCTTTTAAGGCTGCTGTGTCATATTAACACTGTTAGGCATGCAAACAACTAAATGTTTTATAAGATACTCTCACAGACTTAAAATAGGAATGTGTAGGGTCAACAACACTTTGGCTGGAACAATCTTTCTGAGTATTTTGCAACAGAAGAACTCTATTATTTTTCTGTAGTCTAAAATGAATGAAATCAGTTTTTGAAATGAGATGCTTCTAAGTTCAGAAAAGTAATGAGGGGTACCTTAAGTCTAAAAAAGGCTGAGAACCACTGGTTGAAGGGAAATGTGCACAATGTAATCTAATTGTGCCTGCTTTTCCTGTCAACATCCCTGAAAATGTACTCAATGTAAAACTGTTCAATCCTCACGAAGAAAAAGCATTTGAATAATATGAGAAGATGTGGAGGATAAGGTTGCCTCACAACTTGTAAGGTCTGGATGTACCCTTCAACCCAATCAACTAGTATCTTAGCAGGGATTAGTTCAAGGGTAAAATCATGGTCCCATTGAAGTCAATGGGTGTTCTGCCACTGATTTTCATGGGGCCAGGATTATATTACCTGGTTATAAAGACTGGGTCATGTGAGGTCCTTAATGCCAATTAGGATCACGATCCATAAGCATTTTATTCTAATAGAATAATATGTTGACACTAACAGGGCGTCAAGTAAATAAATAAATAAATAAATCTTTAAAGATAACTTTTGTAACCCTGTAATAAAATGTCATTGGGCCATGAAGCTGATTTACACAAGCTGAGTGTCTGGTTCATAAATCTGTCTCCATGGAAATAAAGTAATGGAAGATTTTCGGCTTCTCTATCCTTCTACATTCTACCTGCTGAATTTGTACAAGAAGATGCTATAATCACATTAGGAGTAGCGATATCTGTTTGTTTATACCAGAAATTTGATAGTCGTTAATATACTGTTATTAATGTATTTTTGAGCCTATTGCCATCTGAAGTGACCTAGTTTATCTTCTCAGTATGGGTGAGTGACACAGATATTGTAAATCAGTTCTGAACCTGTCTTTATGACAGCCAAAAAAAATAATCAACTTGGATTTTTAAAAATTAGTAAGCATTAAAACTGGCTGAGGGAGCCAAAATGAAGATACGAACAATTTCATAACAGATTTAACGTGCCTAACAGATCTATGGTATATTTCTCCTTACTAAGCTTCCTGACCAAAAATATAAACATTAAATGACAAAGTAGTAGACTTCAAAGAATATATTTTGTGAGATAGTGCTCATGCTAAGCAAGGCCTAGCATAATTAACAACGCACTAAAACTCCCAGAATGCTTCAAGGAGGTTGAGAAGTCAGCGATTGACATTCTGGTTTTCACTATCTGACCCTTGAATAAGAATGCTGACAGTATGATAAAAATTGCAAGCAAAGCAGTGTTTTTTTAGAAAATACGGAAATGCAAGGCTAAACCGCAAGAACAAAAACAACCATATATCATGCTGATAAAGTCTGGGGAGTATTATAAGTAGACTATTAGAAATTAACATAAGAAGCGTAACCAATTATAATAAAGAGCGTGTAGAATATAGATGAGTTAACTAGTAACCAATAGAAGTAAGAATTAGAAATGCATATGTATACGTGTTATCATATATAAGTAATAGAAAAGTTATGTTAGATGCCTCACTCAGACAGAGTGGGGACAGTTTTGTATCTTTTGTCTAAAAAAAGATAAGGGACTCCTTTTAAATGAGCTGTTGACCAGTTCTGAGACTACTGAATCGGGCAGCCGCACCTAGCCTTCGGGTTAGAAAGCAAGGGCTTGATTTGGGAACCTCGTGAACCAACAGACCTCCTTAGTTTATGACTTTGTGAAACAATAAAAGTTTTAAATTGAACATCCAGGTCTGAGCCTGTGCTTAATTCAGTCCTTATATAATTTGGCACGAACTCACACATATTTCATATCATTTCATAAGTCAAGTTCAAAGTTGAAAATCATTCTGCTTCTGTAGTAAAGTCTTAGGTAGGTCAAAAAAATCAGAAATTACTGGTGAACTGCTCTGTAATTGAATAAATTACATTAGAATGACTTTGAATGAGATGCCTCTAATGATTTACCATTATAGGATACAGCTGAGCTAATATGAGGATACCAATGTAGCTTTTAAAATATAGCCCAAGAGACTCTGGTTTTGCCATGTTAGTACCATGTCTAGCACCATGGCTAGTGCTCTTGGGAGTAAAATAATAAATAATTATTTCTGTTGAAGTGGGGCTAGAGCTCTTTATCCTTATGTTTCTTTACAGTCTCTATGAACCTTTTCAATAACTTTTTGCATTGATATTTCCATTGCTGAGGTAGGTGGTAAAATCTAAGGTTTGAGAAAGGTGTCTATTTTTAATTGGTTTCAGTTTCAGCAGACTTTGATTTCACAGACTATAATGCACTGTAGAGGCACCTAAAGTAGCTCAACTATAGGAAACTGTATAGCCACAGCAGGCTATACTGTTTTTCCTCACTGCTTGGCTGAGGCACAGTGTGGGTGAAGTGTCCTACTACTGAACACCACCAGAGCCCCCTGGTTCTGAGTCAGATCCAGTGGCTCTGTGGATCTTAGGTTGATGACCTCTTCGTTAGCCTATAAAGTTCTCTATGTTCTGGTATGCAGAAAGCTGGCTCAGGTATTTTTTTACTGCATTGCAATGTGCAGTTGTAGACATACCTGAAAATCCATCCCCATTAAACTACCACCTCAGGAAAAGTAATAGATCAGATTTTAAAGGCATTTTGAAATGAATGGGATTTCATTTAGATGCTTTTTAAAAATCTGTTAGTGACTGGAAGGGTTTTGCTATATTTATCCTAAAGAGCATCACATTCAATCTGTGGAACCATGGTGGGAGGCAAATTTCAAATCAGAAGGCTGGTTTAAGAACATCCTGACTTCAGGCATACAAATCAAGGACTGTTGGTTTGTGGGTTCTAACTGACAGAGGTGGTCAAGGAGTAATTAGCTTTACATTACAAAGAAAAAGCTTTGAATTTTATGCAGAGTCCATCTGGAAGGCAGTGCAGTCTGTTGAGGACAAATAACTGACTTATAAAACCACACTGAGAGAGGGCAGAATATACTTATCCATACTGATTTCTGAATGGTCTTCAGGTGTAGCCTATATTCCAGTCTGAAAAGTCCATACACTACAATAAAAATGCATTAGTATTTATTGTAGCTAATCTTCGATTCCTCCTTACAGTACACATAAGCAAAAGGATAGAGTGTAAAGCTATTTAGTTTATTTCATAATGAAGCATGAGAGAATACTTTTGGAAAATGATTAAAAAGAACTCTGTTCTCTTATTGTGGTTTTGGAATAAGAAATGTAAATGGATTTTATATTAATATGTGGAACAAGAGATGAATTGAAACTTTTTAAAGAAAGTGGTATGAAAATCAAGCTTAAAGGACACACAATTTTTGTTTTCGGTTTTGTACTTCAAATGTATGTGTTAATCTTGCTTTCCATGGTTCTCCCTTCAGATATTTGATGTTCTAATTAATGGTGATGAAAAAGGTGTTCCATCCTGCAGTCAGAACATTACAGGTTGTAGTAACTTCTTTAACATGCTACAATGCCAGGTAAGCTTTCATTATAATTCTGAAAACAATATTAAAAAATGCACAGTTTAACTTAAGCAGACGTCTGGGTCTTTATGTCAGGAGTAGGAAATTGCCTGAATGTAGGAAAGGTATGAAGCTTAAATTTACCCCAGCAGGTAAGTGCATGCTTAACTATACCTATACACGTTGGCAACGTGTATGGAGCGCATGCAGGTGCACGCGCACCCCCTGAGACTGGCCGTGCACCCCCTGGAAGTGCCAGTCATGAAACTGGAAGTGCCAACAGAAGTGCATTTCTGGTTTTGCTGCTGGTGGTTCTGGGCTTGGCGATCAGCCGCTGGGGGACCCCTGTCAGCAATCTGGTTCCCCCCAAGACTCAGGAGGAACCAGTCGCCAATGCGTACATGTAGTACTATGGGGCACCTATACACTAGGCCTGTGCAAATAGGGAAGTATTCAATTCGGATTTGGCTGATTCAGAGCACAGTGATTCTATCCAGAGATTTGGATCACTGTCCTGATTGATTTGGCTGAATTGGCTTTGGAAAATTTGGTGCTGATTTGGAGAGATTTGATGATGTGGATTGACCGGGGAGAGGTAGGCACAGCTGGGCAGCTGCAGTTCTCCCATGGCCCCTCTGGCTGTACCTGCCTCTCCCTCGGTGGGATGAGCCACTGGAGGGACTCACCAACAAACTTACCATCTGGAGGCAGCTGTGTCACCTCCTTGCTTAGTCTATGGCCGAATCTCCGAAGTGGCCAAATATTTTCTGAAGCTTTTCCGAATTGATTTGGATGCTTCAAATCTGTTCAGTGTTTAACTGATCTCCCAATTCGGTTCAGGTTTGGAGATTTGGTCCCCAAACTGGGCTGAATCTCCTTCAAATTGAATCAGCTACTGAAGCTTCACAGCCTTACTATATACGTGCTCCAGCATTTTACTTAGAGCAGCTCTCAGGAGATTGCAGGGAGCAACTGGTACTCTGACTGGAGCTTTCAAAAAGGAGAAAACTACAACCTAAACAATTCTTTCTTGTATATACTATTTGTGGTACAGTATCAGATGCTTGTATGTGAAAGCTTTTTTTATATGGAAATGATGAATTTGGGGCATAATAGGCACCTTTATATGACCTCCAGGAGTGGGGGAGGGACGCTTTAATTGGATAACTGCTCTGACTAAACCGCTGCTGAGTCTTATGTATCAGTGTGCTCCCACTTCAAAATGGTAGCAGGGGCACTTGACAAACTTTAATTCAAGCACCTCCACCACCATTTTGAAGCACAGGGATGGCGATACATGAGACACAGGATGCTGCTGGAGCATGGTAATTATCACCCTCCAGCACACTTGATTAATCTGTAATTACAGACATTGTAATTGCAGCATGTTGGAGCAGCCTCCTAGCATGTCTTCAGGCACTGAGTTTTGGATTATGTATGTTTTATCATGTACGTGTATTGTGTTTAACAGCTTTTCATTGAAGCCCATGAGAAAGAGGTTTGGTTTTCTTTTTTTAAAAATTAAGTTACTTCTATCTTTCAAATAGTCTGGAATATTTCAAAACTTATTATCACAGTATGTAAGCTTGCATATACAACAGCACAAGATGAAGACTTGACATTTTAAATCAGAGATCTAAAGCTAATACTGAGCTTAGAATCTCCCAAATGCTTGCTAATTCTCCATTCCGTAATCACACCACCATCTCATAACTTAATTGTGACTTAAGAAATGGATGCATAACATTTTCTTTTGTTCAGTACAATTTTTCCTACCTAAACTTCTTTGCTACAGTGGCCTGATGACCAGGAATATTTTGGAGAGTTTTTATTGCTCCCAGAAATAAGGAAATCTATCCATGTGGGTAATCTTACCTTCCATGATGGGTCTACAGTTGAGAAGCATTTGCTTGAAGATGTGATGAAAACAATAGAGCCATATTAGCTATATTAATGGATAATTATAGGGTAAGAAGATTTCAACTGGCTTCTCTAGGCACCTTGCTTTAGTGCAAAATTAACCTGTGCTCTTATTTAAATGTTGTGTCTAACTCAACTAATATCTACACAGAAACCTCTGACCCAAAGGGTGTAGTGTTTTCAACCCACATTTTCCAGCTATTCATTGTATTGACTCCTATCCTCTAGTCCAATAACAGAAAGTAAACTTGAAAGCTACTCTGAATGATGCACTGGCTGCCAGAAGCGTCCGTTAAGGATCACTATAAAATGGGATGGTAGATACACTTCCTATGGTGGAAGCAAGCACATATGGTCAGTGAAAAGCAAAGGCAATACATGGCATCTCAGGCTCTGAGCCAAAATTCTTCAATGAAATTACATCATTGGATTTCCCTGATTTTTTTTAAGTGCAGATTTCTTACAATGAAAACACTATATCCTTTATGCTACTTGGGTGCTGGGAGGTAGGAAGCTCTCATTAAGACTAAAATGACAAAGACATGGATTCAGTAAAAACATTTTTTAATTGAATTGAGCATTCTTCAGATAGCTCCTGGAGTTGGCCAGCCCTCTTTTTTTTACTGCTTGTCTGCATTGAGTGCCCTGCAGAGTCTCTGACTTATTTTAATTGAACACAAGAAACTAATTTTAATTTTTTTTAAACATAATTAGTTTGACTTCCTCTAGTGGGAGTCTTGTAATTGATACCATGAATAAATTATGGAAAGCAATTTTAAGGGTTCTTAATTACAAAGCTGCTTAGCTTCAGAACTTTTACGCTGACAAGCAAAATGGTTTTGTACCGTACCATTAAATATAAACTATGTCCAAAAATATACCCAGGTCCCAAGATCTAAGAGGAAAGGACTGGGGTATGCTGGTACGTGGAAATAGTGCACAAATAGTGACCAAACATTTTCAGGGGAAGTAGTATTTGGCTTAAGGGTGTAGAAATGCAAATACTGGGTGAATTAACTGAAACTAGTTCAGTGTCCTATGGCCAGTGCCAGATGCTTTAGAGAAAGATGAAAGAGAACAGCCACAAAATTGTGTAATACTTTTGAAATTTTGTAAAGCTCTTGTTTCAGTGAGTTGTGTGTGTGGTTCAGGCTCTATGTGAAGTATTTTTCTGTTACTCTTAAGTTTGTTGCCTTTGCTGTTTGATAGTGTTGGTTATCCCCTTCGTTCCTGGTTTATGAGAAGGGACAATTGCTTTCTCTATACGAGTTACATTTTTATGGAACTTGGTCCTAACTTCTCTGTCTCTCATCTGAAACTCTTTTGTGCTTGATATATACTTTGCTTGGGTCTAGCTCTAGTTTTTCTGTCTCTTAAGAATTTAACACAGTATTCCAGTTGCATGATTGATAATATAATGTTTAAAATATCTTCTTATTCTATATACATTCTAACACATTTTATATGTTTGATAATTGCTGTACATATAGAAAATATTTTCACTGACTGTATCCATGACAACCAAAAATGTGAACTTAGAGGTATGGTTAATTTAAGATCTAGCACAAAATGCTTTATTTCCCTTTTGTCAAAACAGAATCTCATTTGTTGCCATGTTGTGTGTATTTTCTATGATCTTCCTCTATTTTTCTCTAGTGTTGACTAAAAAATAATTTTGTCTTTTAAGCAGATATTGCCACCTCATTCTTCATCTCCCTTCCAAATAATTAATCAGTGCATTCAGCAATTGTTAGTTTGTCTCTGGGGCATTTCTGTATGATTTTTTTTCAAAGTGAACATTCATTATTCATCCTTGTTCTTTTCTTTGGCCTCAGCCTGTTTTAATACATTCTGGGTGCATCTACATGTGCAATTAATGCGACACAAACTCCAGGGCATACTGCCCTGGAGTTTATTGCCCCGAGTGCTGCGTTTATACATGCACCTGGGACCACAACACATTAAGCCAGGTCAGAGTAGCCATGGCTGGCAGGGGGCTTGCGGGGGTCAGCATGCCAGTCCAGGGTTGCTTTGATCCAGGTCAACATGGTGCAGAAGGGCTGGCTGGGGTGCAAGAGTGCTCTAGTTCAGGGCTAGCCGGCAGGAAGCCCCTGCACTGGAGCACTCTCATGCCCCAGTTAGCCCCATCAGCGTCTACATGTGTGTTGCTGGACACTAGGGAACACTGCCATAGAATAGTACTCAGTTTACTGTGGACTAATAGGGCTGCACATGTACATGCTGACACTTGACTGTGGAGCTAATTAGTCAACTCCACAGTAAACATCTTGTGTAGATGCACCCTTTTATCCTACAGCTGAATGGTATATTGTGACTAATACTTGTCAGAATTTTTATGAAAGTCTTAATAAACTATATTGGCCATTTTTCCATTATCAACTATTTGTTGCTTGGAAAAGCAGATGTCCTTGAAAGATGCTTTATTGGCTTGCACTTTTCACATCATGATAATCTGAGTTGTCTTAGATTTGTTTTTTCAACAATTTCACCCAGTACTGAAGAAACGCTTTATTGGAATCTTTTAAGTAAATATTTGCTGATTTTTTTCATGAGATTTCTTTTGTTTTTTGGCTAGCAACTCAACAATTAAACTTTTAAGTTCCTTCAGAAACTCCTATCAGCACATTCTTTTATTACTGGTGACTACTGCCAATTAATTAGTTTGTTCCAAAAACTCTACTTTTGACAGCACCTTTTTGATGGTACCTCACTTTTATTATCTCCTCAACATTCTCTATAGTGATGATGGAAGCAACAAAACAAAAGAATTACTTTCTGTGGTGTCCTTATTCTCAATTGATCACTTATTTTTTCTGGAGGGCCAGTGAACCAAGTGATTTTTCTTGCAGGATTCCCATTGGATATACTTCTATTTCTATATATTTGGTACTTCGATTTCCATGTTATTTTTCATCTCTATCTTATAGTTTGTTGCTTTCAGGTGGGTCGAATCTTTGTTTTCTGAAGGATATTTATATGTCTCAACAAATCTCCTGCTATCTCATTATTAAACTAAACTGAATTTTCCTGTTTCCATTTTTATTATGTGCTTCCATTCTGCAATTTTATGAAAGTCGTATCTATGACTATCTAAAGGTGAGTTGAGATTTGCACTTAAGGTATGGATTCAAACACTTTTATATAAGGAGGACATAACAACCTCTTTGAATGATAGGAGCACATTTTAAAATACAAATTTTCAGAAAATTTGCTAATTAATTTGAGATGAAACAAACTTTGAATACCTTGAGTACTGTACATAGGAGGTTTTGCCTGTTTGTTTGCCCAAATAACAACGCAAGCCCTGCAAACTTCCTACTAATAAATACTGAACTTTCATCTGTTGGCTACATATAAATAATTGGAATGGTCAATTTTACCATTATTTATCAAAACTAAAAGTGTGTCCTTCAACAGGTAAAGGGGGGTTGTCCTTAAATATTTCTTGATGCAGAACAGAGTATAACCCACTGCATAAGATCTGTTCAACAGGAGGAGAAAGAGTGAGGGAAAGAGACTGTGGAGAAGCTAAAAAAACCTGGCTGGTATTTGTCTTGGCAGAGGGGTCTTCCCCCAGGCACACAGTGGTGTTTGGCAGCAGTGACCGGCACTGCAGAGGTGGCCATACTCTGCTGCTCTTAGCATCCCCACTCCCACCACAGCATGCAGGCCATACATGGGAACAGTAGCCAGGGACTTTTTTCTCCCTGCCTCAAGTAAGAACCCCACCACCACCACCTTTTGTGCTTTTGGCACAACCAACCTTCTTCACCATGCTCAATGGCACTTCCATTCCCCTTCCCTCCCATTCCTCCCCTCACCCTCTCTACTTATGACTCTGGGTGCAAGAAGGGGAGACTCATCCATTGCCATTGCTGTGGCATTGCTGCAACCAGGGCTGCTGAGAACTGGGCTTAATCAGGAACAGTGACAGTTTCACCTACTTCCAGATTTGGCAGGGAACACCTGGATGAACCAAGCAGGGAGGGGAAACGTGCCTGTCACTGCTGCTATGATCCCCAGCTGAGTGTGGCTGACTAGACTGGGGTCTGCTAGTGCTCCTGCTGCAATGCAAAGCTTGAGGTTCCTGGCTAGATTGATCACTGTATTTGGGGTCAGGAAGGAGTTTTACTCCATAGTCAGATTTGTATGGAATGTGTAGGTTTCTGCCTTCCTCTGTAATGGGGGGCATGGTCCTCTACCTTGGGATCTCTGGAGCATATATTAACAATCTTTACAGAAGCAGAAAGTTGGCTGTGATTCCCCTTGTTTACCTGTGGCAGGTTAGGGTGTTATGTCTTGTGTTGTGTCAGGATTGATTATAGTTTTGCTAAGAGGTAAGATTATGGATTTGTGAAGGAAGGTTTGGATACGGATGATTCTGCCTCAGGCAGGGGGTTAGACTAGATGGCTTATAGAGGTCCCCTCCAACCCTACTTCTCCATGATTCTATGAGTGTTACCTGCAAAAGGAGGGATAATTACCTGTTTTGGGGACTTAAAAAAATAAAGTCCCTAATTGCTGTTCCTGCACTGTGGTTTGAAAGGTGGGGGAGCATGCCACTGAACCCCTACTCTGGCAGGACTGGATTTTAATGAGAAGGATGAAATTTCTAGCATCTTCATGAGATTGCTTCCAGCTCAAGTCAGATTTGCAACAATTGTCACAAGTCTTGACAATACTGGAAATATTCTGGCTATTTTCTGCTGTCAAGAGCGGGTAGAGTAGTTATGGCTACAACTCTAAATATTATATTTTATGGGAGAAAGGTTTTAAGGTTGATGCTTTAACCAGGGGTTGGCAACCTTCTTATAGTGGCAGGTCAAATTAGTGTAGTTCGCTCTGAAGATCAATGGCTATTCCCCATGCTTCCTACCCAGCAGGCTCCCTATTTCAGCAGCCACTCTCCTATTCATGGGCAACTGGTGCCTCTTGACTCGGGGGGGGAGGGGGTCCCCCACAGCTGATCTCACTCACCGAAGAGTGGCCATGCTCTTAGGGGGCAGGGGGAGAGCACTGCTGCACAGCTACTTTTGCTGGTGGCCCCACTCCACAGCTGGTGCTCACCGGGGGGCACTGGCGCTCCTACCTGCCCCCCCATCTGTCACCTAAACAAGGAGCATGGCCTGACAGGGAGTGCACCAGCATTCTCAGGGGGCCCCTGTGCACCCTGTACGCATCGCCACTGCTCCTATTGCCTAATTGCCACCAGCTTTGCAGGCCAGATGTCATTGCTTACAGCCCACAGATCTGGCCTGCTAAGTTGCTGATCCCTACTATATAGTATTGGAAACAAGCAGGAGGAACTTACCTTCCTGCTAGCTGACACCAACCCAGACATAGTGGGGCTCACTGAAACGTGGTGGGACCCAACGCATGACTGAGTGGTGAATATCAAGGGCTATACACTGTACAGGAGGGACAGGACAGGGAGGAAAGGCGGAGGTGTGGCGCTGTACATTAAGAAGGAATACACATCCTCATCAGGTAGCACAGAGTCAGAGGAGGGGCACACGGAAGTGCTCTGGGTTAGAATACAAGGTAGTCGAGGGGAAAGAGACTTAACGGTGGGGGTCTACTACAGACCACCCAACCAAGGAGAAGAGCTAGACCAGAAATTCTTAAGTCAGCTCACGGAAGTAGTTAGGTCAAAGGACGTGGTCATCATGGGTGACCAGAACTTTCCAGACATCTGCTGGGAAGAGCAATCAGGCAGGTCTGACCGCTCATGTAGGTTCCTAGCTCAAATGCAGGACCTCCATCTAACCCAGGAGGTGCACAGCCCCACCAAGGGAGACGCTATGTTGGACCTGGTGCTGGCCACCAGGTCATTTGCTGATGACCTGGTGAGGGGGCTGCAGGTGCTCAACGACCTGGGCAACAGTGATCATTGCCTGCTGGAATTTACCATCCAGCGCAAGGTGGCAAAGGCCTGCAGCAAGGCAGCAGCCCTAGATTTCAGGAGGATGGACTTCAATGAGCTACGGAGAATAATCGGGGAAGCACTGAGGTCCCGGAGGGGAGGGGAGCCAGGTTTTCAAGAAGAAACTATAAGCCAGTAGTCTTACCTCGATCCTGGGTAAGCTTTTTGGGAGAATTATTCTGGCACATGTCCACGAGGGGCCAGCAGGGTAGATTATGCTTAGGGGCAACCAACATGGGTTCATTAG